GTGTTTCTCTTCCAACATCTGTTTTTGTCCCTCTCCCAAGAGCGCCCACTCCGCCTTGGTTTGTTAAGTAGTTGTCTCCGCATTAACGGTTAGGTGAACAAGTTCGCTTCTCCGCTTTTTCAGTGGTATAACCATCCCTCTCCGTCCTCGCAAAAGGACCCATCAAGCTTTGCCATCATGGGCACCAATTCATCGCGATCAACAAACCTCCCTTTGCTACCGCTATCTAGGGATTCGGTTCTCTTGCCCGGTGTCACCCTTCGTATCCCGCTGTCGGAACGCCCTGATATCCCTCTCCTCCTCACTTCTCTCTTCAGCAAATCCTCCTTAAAGGCTGGAAATGCCACCATTGTTGGCTGCTCTCCTCTCAGTTCTCCCTTTCTGAGCAAGGATGGCAAGAAGCTGTTGAATAATGTGGACGGGGCAAGCACCCGATCAGCAGCCTCGAGCACAGTCGACCCAGCTAAAGCTTCCAAGCATGATCTCTTCAGCTATGGCACAGTAGCTAAGGTTATTGGCGTTCAGGGAAGGCCAAATAGTGAGCCATGTCTACTTGTGGAAGGCTTGAAGCGGTTTTCGATTAGCAAGGTTACCAAGGAGACTCCGTTCTTAGAGGCGGATGTGACTGTACATGATGAAATTGGTAGGTTGCCTTGTGCTTAATTATCCCCCGCGTATATGTATACAATGGCATATGAAAACTAATAGATAAATACACAGCCCCCCTTGCCACTGACATCGTAATGGTAACACTCTTTGACCAGGTCAAGCGACTTTCACGAGAACTTTTGGCTTTCCTCAGACTCACATCCTTCTTTCCCCATCAAACCAATGGCATATCGCCCCTGATTGCTCGACGATTTGAACTTTTCATCGCCAAGAAGAGTATCTCGCAAGCAGGAACTCTCGCCGATTTTATGACTGATGTGGTGGAAACCACATTCGAGGAAAAACTACAGGTTCTAGCTTCGATTGACCTGAAGACCAGGCTAGAGAAAGTTGTGGAACTCTTGTCAAGACAAGTCCAAGATATGAGAAGCAATATTAAGGTGACTTCTATCACTACATCGAGTAATCCTTCGAATTTTGGCGTTGATATCAATCAGTTGGATCCGCGCCAAAGAGAACTACAGTCCCGACGCTCCATGACGGGAATCAATGGCTTTCCACCGGGGATTCACGGAGGAATGGGGGATGCCGGCGAAGAGAAGGAACCAAACGAAATCGATGAACTCCAGCAAAAACTTCAAGATGCCAAGCTAAGCCCAGAAGCCCAGAAAGTAGCAGATCGTGAACTCAAGCGGCTCCGTAAGATGAATCCTTCCAACGCAGAATATGGCGTCTGCCGAACATACTTGGAGAATCTGGCTGAGATTCCTTGGTCTAAGATCACTGAGGACCAATTGGGTGTTGAAACGCTCCAGAGGGCCAGGAAACAGTTGGACGATGACCATTACGGCCTGGAAAAAATAAAGAAACGCCTGTTGGAGTACTTGGCGGTTCTCAAACTGAAGCAGACTCTCAACGCTGATGTTGATAATCAAATTTCAAAGCTCTCGAAAGATTTGGACGTAGATGAGAACAGCAGCGAAGACGAAACTGAATCTAAATCTAGCGCTGAGCGGGCCGCCATAGAAACTAAGCTACAGCTTCTCAAGTCAAAGCGTATGACAGACAAATCTCCAATTATGCTCCTTGTTGGCCCTCCTGGTACGGGAAAAACCAGTTTGGCCAAATCAGTTGCCACAGCACTTGGCCGCAAATTCCATCGTATTTCTCTTGGTGGTGTGAGAGATGAGGCCGAGATTCGCGGACATCGGAGGACCTATGTCGCGGCAATGCCTGAGCTTATCGTGAATGGACTGAAGAAAGTGGGTGTTGCCAACCCAGTTTTCTTGCTTGATGAGATCGACAAGGTGGTCGGCTCCAATTTCCACGGCGACCCGTCAGCTGCCATGTTGGAAGTCCTTGACCCAGAGCAAAACCATAGCTTTACAGATCACTACATAAACATCCCCATCGATCTGAGCAAAGTATTGTTTATCGCAACCGCAAACGCTTTGGATACTATCCCTCCACCCCTCTTGGATCGTATGGAAACAATCCAGCTTTCCGGCTACACAACCGTTGAGAAGAAACATATCGCGTCCCGCCATCTCGTACCCAAACAGATCCGGACCAACGGCCTTTCAGACGGCCAAGTCTTCCTCTCTGACGAAGTCCTTGAGAAAATCATCACAGCCTACACCCGTGAATCTGGGGTCCGCAACCTAGAACGCGAAATTGGCTCCGTCTGCCGCTACAAAGCCGTCCAATATGCAGATGCCAAAGACGCGTCCAAAGAACACACATATAATCCGCAGGTCTCCATCGAAGACCTAGACGAAATCCTCGGCATCGAGCGTTTCGACGAAGAAATCGCAGAAAAACACGCACGTCCTGGTATCGTGACAGGTCTTGTCGCATACTCCACCGGTGGCCAGGGTAGTATCCTCTTCATTGAAGTGGCCGACATGCCGGGCAATGGCCGCGTGCAGCTGACAGGCAAGCTGGGTAATGTGTTGAAAGAATCCGTCGAAGTGGCGCTTACCTGGGTCAAAGCACACTCGTTCGACCTGGGTTTGACCCACGATCCCAACGAGGATATCATGAAACATCGCAGCCTGCATGTGCACTGCCCTTCCGGAGCGATCCCCAAGGACGGGCCCTCTGCCGGCCTTGCACATACGATCGCATTGATCTCGTTGTTCTCTGGAAAGACGGTGCCGCCAGATGTCGCCATGACGGGAGAAGTTTCTCTCCGCGGCCGGGTGATGCCTGTTGGTGGCATTAAGGAGAAGCTCATCGGTGCGCACCGCGCAGGCGTGAAGACTGTTTTGCTCCCTGAGCATAATCGCAAGGAAGTACGGGAAGTTCCTGTCGAGGTTAAGAATAGTTTGGAAATTGTGCATGTCAAGTAAGCCTCCCCCACCCCGTTTCTTCTTTTTCCACCATGTTCCTAACACTTTCAACCCTCCCACAGGCACATTTGGGAAGCAATCCGGCACATCTGGCCGCATGCGCACTGGCCAGGCGAGCACACTCCGATGTTCGAGAGCAGATTGTAGTCCTTTTTTACTTTTTCCTTCTCTCGACATCCCAATTATACCATGTGCCAGTCCTTTCAAGATAAGGGAAATATCCCACTAAACAAGATTACATAATTAGCGAGCGGTGTCTGATAGTTAGTTATATATTTTTCTTTGATCTTTCCCATTGCTCCTTTCTGTTTTCAATTCAATTAGTATATTTCCATTCTCGCATTTTTTTTTAAAACCTCACTCTATTCCTCCCTAATCCAGATCTAATTTTCGAAACGTTCGAGTCATTAAATTCTCCTTGCGCGGTGTCAATTTGCATATCTCTTTTGGAAAAGGGAGGGAAGGTTTTTTTTTTTTTTTTTTTTTTTTTTTTTTTTTTTTTTTTCAGCATCCCAAGCTGTTGAATAATAATAATAATAATAATAATTATATATGTTTTCCTCAATTAGGTGATTAGCCAATGAAGATCTCTTTTGGAAAGAACTAGGAAACTACTGTTCTCGTAAAACTGTATTGGATGCTCCTATACAACCCTTCTGACCGTGAACCTAGGTAGGTC